TATATATATATATATATATATATATATATATATATATATATATATATATATATATATATATATATATATATATAAAATAAAATCCAATGTGTTTCAGGGTGAGGGGTCCACACTGGTGGCCTGCTTCGAAGCTGTTTCGAAGCTTCACTCACGTGTTAAAATAAGGTGGATTGAGATATGTTTTTATAAATGCAAGAAATAAAATTATTATTTTTAAAAAAAAATCTTATGTGGAGTTTTCTTTTAAACATGTTCCTTTATGAATGTGTGACAGTAACCTCATATGAATAAAACACTGACGCGTTGCTCGTGCAGAATGGCGGGCGGCTCTGTAACAGGTTCACCCAGCTGCTGTTTGTGAGATTTTAAACTTGAATGATGTTCTGCAACAGAGACGATGAGAAGAGTTCCGCGAGGAGGAGCTTGGTGTGTTTCTATTTGGGTAAGCTGTGAGTGAGGCTGGCCCTTATGGCAGGAACATGGTGTCTGTGCGCTAAAACGCTCCGCTTTTCTGACCCATTTCTTCCCTTTGACACGGAGCGCGGTGATGCTTGGAGCCAGCTGTGAGGGATCCTGGCAGGAACCGCTCGGCTTGTTGTGGAATTATTGTGAAACATTTCGGAGCAGTTTGACTCACTTTGCGGCCTGTGTGAAGCGATGACGCGCTAATGTGATCCCGGCCTGTAAAACATGAACCAAATCCCACTTGAAGATAAAAAAAAAATAAAAAATATAAAAAAATATTAATAATTAAAAAAATCAGGCTGACAAAATGTGTCACATCTCCTTATAGTTTAGTCATGCCTCTGTTTTGTCCCGGTTTAATTTCAACAACCCTCGGCGCGTCTTCATTATCTCCGTTTCTAAATGAGCAGAGCCTGTTTTTCCTCCACTTCTGTTTGTTTGGTGAAACTGTCCTCCAGCAGGAGGAAGGTAGGAGTGAAGCAGCCGACTGATATGCAACTCTTTCCGCCTCCCCGCTGCATATTTCACGCTCATTTTACAGGATGCACGATTTTTTTTTGAGACACACTCCGTGTTTCTGTCTGCTGCGACCCCCCTCCGCCCCTCCACTCCATCACCACCAACCCCCTCTGCATGTCCTGACCGTGTCCGTGCCCGTGCCCTCCGGACTCCCTCTCTGTTTATTTTCCCTCAGAGATGGGATGTAAACAGTTTTGCAGACGCCTAAGGGGCAAATATTTGAATCGAAGGAGTGTAAATGTGAGGAGCGGCGAGGATTTGGGTTGACGCATGCACGGTGCGCGCTTCCAGCTCCGGTTTAGGTGGAGGGAGGGGGCTGGAGGGTGATCAGTGTTGATGGGGCGCTGCAAAAAGTTTTCCATCGTCCTGCCAGTGTCGCTCTTCTTCAAGGTGTCAGAAAAGTTCAGGCTCATAGCGGGAAACGATTACGCTTATTTGTCGGAGGTGTAAAATTTCCATCTTCTCATATGATGCAAGCCGGTGTGATAAATAAATAAATAAATAAATAAATAAATAAATAAATAAATAAATTTAATCATCGCTAAACAAACAACCACTTTCATGCAGCAGATTTTCGGGTTGTTTCATCCATTCTCCTGCAGCCGGGAGCAAAGTCCTGGAGCTGCTTGGCATTTTTTGCAGCGTGCCAGTTATTGGCGGATGTGCGTGTTTCTCCGCGCGTCGTGATTGGCTGAGCGCTCAGTGGACGCCTTAATGTTTAATACTAATGTTCCCCTGGTTGGCTGAGGACTGGGAAGGTCCAACCAATGTTTTTCACTTGCTTTAGTGGCTGCGGCTCCCTAATTAATTGCAGCTATCTGTCTCCTATCGATGTGTGTGTACATGTGTGTTGTGTGTGTTTCCCCTTTCCTCCCCAAACCGAACATGAAATAGTTTGTTGGGCTATACTTTCTTTCTTCCTTTCTAATCCCCCCTTCCTTCCTTCCCGTCCTGGTTCGCTGGTGGAGACCGGGAGGACTGAAACCCAGCTGTGTTCGCCGCCCGCCTCTGCTCGCCGCCGGTTCCCCCCTCACTGCTCGGTGATGTTGGACATGGGAGAGCGCAAAGAGGTGAAGATGATTCCCAAATCGTCGTTCAGTATAAACAGTTTGGTGCCGGAGGCCGTGCAAAGCGACAACAACAACAGTCACCACCACCACCACCACCACCACCACCAGAACCAGAGCCAGAACCAGCACCGAGTTGTTGGTCCGGATGATGCCGAGCAGAAGGCGCCTCTCCCGGCCTCGCAGCCGGACGTCAAAGCTGACCCGAAAAGTGAGTCACTGAACCCGGAGAGCTGCCCGGAGGAGAAGCAGGAGGAGAAGAAGGACGGGAAAGAGGGAGAGAAGGACGGAGAGAAGAAAAGTGGCAAGTACGAAAAACCTCCTTTCAGCTACAACGCTCTAATAATGATGGCTATCAGGCAGAGTCCGGAGAAGCGGCTCACTCTCAACGGCATTTATGAGTTCATCATGAAAAACTTTCCGTATTACCGGGAGAACAAGCAGGGCTGGCAGAACTCCATCAGACACAACCTCAGCCTCAATAAGTGCTTTGTCAAGGTGCCTCGGCACTACGATGACCCCGGGAAGGGGAACTACTGGATGCTGGACCCCAGCAGCGACGACGTCTTCATCGGTGGAACCACTGGGAAGCTCCGCCGGCGCTCCACCACGTCACGGGCCAAGCTGGCTTTCAAGCGCGGTGCCCGGTTGACCTCCGGGCTGACCTTCATGGACCGGGCCGGCTCCTTATACTGGCCGATGTCCCCCTTCCTCTCCCTTCACCACCCGCGGGCCGCCGGTGCCCTCGGCTACAACGGGACCTCGTCTGGATACCCGGGCCACCCGATGTCCTACAGCAGCATGCTCACGCAGAACATGAGCAACAACCACTCATCGTTCCCGTCGTCCAACGGGCTCAGCATGGACCGGCTGGTCGGTGGGGACCTCCCCTACGCGACGCACCACCTGACGGCGGCGGCCCTGGCGGCCTCGGCGGTGCCCTGCGGCCTCTCTGTGCCTTGCTCCGGGGCCACTTATTCATTGAACCCGTGCTCGGTGAACTTGTTGGCCGGACAGACGAGTTACTTTTTCCCCCATGTCCCACACCCGACTATGAGCTCACAGACCGGCGCCGGAGGCGGTGGCTCATTGCAGGCTGCCCGGGCTTCGGCTTCCAATTCTCCGCAGGCTCCCTCCTCTTCCTCGCTGCCATGTGACACTCTTAGGCCGGCTTTGTCCGGCTCTCTACCCGCCTTCTCCTCGGGACTTTCCGGGGGTTTGTCTGACTATTTCACACATCAGAACCAGGGGTCAACTTCTAACCCGCTCATACACTAACTCCCCTCCGCCCCCCACTCCCCTGAACTTCATCCATCCATTCATCAATTCATCCATCCATCCATCCATGAAGGAGTGATAATCTCAAAATGATTGGAACACTAACGTGATCGTTTTTAACACTGAACATTTAAAATGTAAAAAAAAAGACAAATTATTATAAACTACTACCTATTATAGAAAAAAGAAGAGAGACTGCAAAACAAAAAAAGAGCAGCACTGAGAAACTCACAGAAAGCAGCACTGACATTTCCAGGTATTTTTTTTTTATATTATTATTATTATTATTATTATTATTATTATGGTTTCTTCTTCATGTTCTTCTCGTTGTTGTTCTGCCCCATCTCCTCCTGCAGTTTTAATTTCTGTGTACATAATGTGTGTTCTAAGTGTCTGGGGTTTGTCTTCTGTATAATAATGTCAGTCAGTGACGTGCAATGTGATCTGAGATAGGAAGCGGAGAGAATGATGAGAGCGCAGCTTTGCTCACGTTTTTATTTTCTTGTTGGAGGAGGCAAGTTTTTTTATATTAGAATGAGTATTTAAATTAGTTTTGTTTTATTAAAGATTAATAATAATAATAATAATAATAATAATAATAATAATAATAATAATAATAATAATAATAATAGAGTCAGTACCATGCTGGTTAAAATAAAAGCGGGAAAAATGATTTTTTTTTTAAGCTGAATGTTCTTCTTAAAGCTGGAGTCCACAGTGGCCTCTGAACGTTCTTCTCCATTCATTCATTACCTGGTTTTAAAAACTGCTGACGCGCTTTTTATAGACCAAAGAATCTGTTCCATATGAAGTCAGTATTGTGCTGTATATTCTGGGAGGCCTGCTGAGGTCGGAATGAAGGAGAGACTGAAATCCTCCGTCACTGCAGAAAATGTCCCTTTAAACGAGATTTTTATCGCGTCCTTTAGGTTGTTTTAATTATTACTTAGGCTTTTTCGTTTGAAAATAGATTTTTGGTTATTTCAGCAATTGTTGGCGTCGCTGGAGGAATTTTATTTTTAGTAAAAATTTAGCGGGCATTATTTTTCGAATTGAAGAATTGCGCTTTTCGGCGTTACGACTTTGTGCGTAAATGTCTCGTTTTGTGGAAGATTTTCCGCAGTGAAGCTTTGCCATGGAAACGTGATCGCCGGTTTTAAAAAAAAAAAAACCCAAAACACAGACGTTCACGATTCTTTTTCTTCTTGTTTTTGTACAATTAGTAAAAAGAAAAAAGAAAAAAGATCATCTTTGTAATCTGACTTTGTTTTGTTTTAGAAAAGGAGGAACGCTGTAAAAAATCCCGTTTGTTTAACAAAAGAAATTCTGCCTTCTGATCTAATAGGCTCCTATTTGGAATGACTGTCTTTTAATTGTCGCCTCTAAAACAATTTTTCATGGTTGTGATACTGTTGTGGTCTTCTTATTACCGTGTTTGTCGCTTATAAAAATAAAAAAAGAAAAAATGTTTTAATCCTAAAAAAGCACAAATAAAAGAATAGGTTACATTCATAACTAACGTAATCCCCTTTGTCTTTTATTTACTGCTCCATATGAAGCAACAGAGTGATCAACAGAGTGATCAACAGAGTGATCAACAGAGTGATCAACAGAGTGATCTCTATCAGTTTCTGGGTTTCAGGCTGAATGTTGTCATCATTGACGCTCATGCCGGAGCTTTTTTCGGGTTTTGGGTTTGGGCTGCGCTGCAGAGCTTGGTTCGGGGCCCCTGCTGGCAGCAGAGCTCTGGGGTCTGGTACTGAAGTGTCTGCGAGTCTTTTATTGTTTCAGAGTGTCACATTCTGTCCATTTGAGCGGTGAAATATTAGGCGCTGCAGGCTGCGCCTCTTTGCTTTGTGCGCATCGGTATCTGCGCTCCAATCTCAGCGGAGCTGCACTTCTGTCGACGTTTTTCTGCTGCGGTGAAAAACTTCCAGATGATTAATGATTATTTTTCGGAGTGATTAATCTGAGCGTGGTGTCGCTGCATGCCGTGATACTCTTTGCTTGTTCCGGTGTTGCTTTTTCTTCTTCTTGTTTTTTTTTTTTTTTTTTTTTTTTTTTTTTTTTTTTTTTTTTTTTTTTTTTTTTTTTTTTTTTTTTTTTTTTTGTTGCTTTGCTGAACACAAACAATCCTGAGAAGTTCGGACTCTTTCAGATTTGTTCCCCAGTGTAATGTTCTCCATTCACTGTTTACTTTAAAGGCAGCTGCTATATGATCCCGGGGTGAGTGCTTTCTGCCGAGCTGTTGACATGTGCTTTAGTTGAAGTTAGAACTTTAGAACCCGGATTTAAAAAAATAAAAATAAAATAAAATAAAAATTGGGAGTTCTCCTAAATTCACAAGTTTTGTGAAATTTTGTGTCGTGGCCAAATTTCCTTTTTTATGTCTGTCATGCTGGAGGACCTGCAGCATATCACGGCTTTGTTTGGGTTCTCCTGGTTCTTTATCTCATGCTAACAGCGAAATGAAAAAAACAACAACAAAACAACAACAACAACAAAAAAAAAACAAAACAAAAAAACAAACAAACAAAAAAACACAAACAAAACAAAACAGAATGTTGGATGGTTGTATTGATTTAAAAGCTGCTGGAACTTGCTTGTTTTGGTGAAGACTTCATCCGTCCTGCTGCAGAAGAATCTCCTCTGCTGGGTGATTTCCGCTGCTGCATCAGCCTGCATGTCTTTGTTAAATGGCTCCGGAAGGTTTTACAAACACCCAAATATTGGGCTTATTAAAAGCCCAATATTTACCTTTTCTTAAACGACTTATTTTTTATAAAAAAATTCTCTCACTTTTATCCCATTTGCATTATGTGAAGGTAAATGTGCAGCGTGTCTGCTCTGTTTCTGCAGCAGCTTTCCTCCCAAAAGCTGCTGCAGCCTCTGAGCTGCTGCTGCTTCAGAGGCTCTGCAGCTTTGGACTGGATTTCTGGGAATTTTATTTTTTAATATTTTCATGTTTGACTCAGATTTTGCTGGTGTCTTTCTCAGCTGTATTTTTTATTTTTTATTTCTTTATGTTCTGGTAGATCACTGGCGTTGGTATAAAATAAAAGTGAGCTGTAATGTAAAACACATATGTGACCTAAGGACGCAAATGCATCACTGGTCGGTTGTGATATCTTCAGCAAATATCTGGTCAGTCTGTGTAAACCTGCGGCTCAGTGCAGGTCAGATGCTGTGGTCATCATGCAGGCAGCGCGCTGTCCACGGACGGTGCGCATGGATTGGAGGTTCGTCTGACTGCCCTCCTCCACCTGATGTTGAGCTGCTTGGTTTCAGACAGGTTCTGGTCGGTTCTGGATGAGCTGGGTTTGGTTCCATTACAGCTGAAAATGGGTCTGTTTGCTCCGCTGGTGCAGCTTAGCGCTAAATCCGTTGCGCAAGTGGAATGTTTAGGAGAAGTTTGCTGCTCTGCAGCTGTGAGCTGTTCAGATGGAATAGTTGGAGTTACTTTGTGCTCCAGCAGGGAGGTTTTACTGCTTTATCAGTTAATAAAATAGTGCCATAAAGGATTATGTCTAAAATACCAGATCGATTAAAAGAATGGTTTATTTTAGAGGTTAGTCAGAATCTAACCTGTTTGTAATGTTGGAATTAATAACAGATTATTGCTGCGTTTCCTGATATAAATCCAGAACGAGGTTAAATAAGACATCTCATTTATTTATGTAATTGAGGAATGAAACAAAACATTTAGTTTTATTTTATACATTTTGCAAAAAGGAAATCAATTTCTCCTAGTAGCTCCATTATTATTATTATTATTATTATTATTATTATTATTATTATTATTATTATTATTATTATTATTATTATTATTATTATTATTAATTAATTAATTAATTAATTAATTTATTAAGTTATTTATTTTTTGTGTAATGTTTAACTGTCATATAAACCAAAAGATCACAGTTTCAATGCATTCGTGTCCTGAGACTCTGGCAAAATAGAAAAATGCAAAGTGAATATTTGAAATTACTCTCAGGTGTTGCCGTAGTCATGGTTTCCAGAGAGAGCGCCTTTAAATGATGTTTTAACATTTTGAAAACGTGCAGAAAAGGAAAAAAAAATAGATGAATCAGTGTTGAATAGGTTTGCTGAAATCTTTTCTTGAAAAATAATAAATGATTAATTGGATTTTTTTATTTCAACATAATTGGAATTGTTCTAGAATACTACTTTCGCATGCAACTGTAAAATAAGAATCAAGCAAAACGCTGTGAGTGAATTAAAAGTCATGAGTTATTTATTACTGCTGACTTTAAGTTAGTGGTTTGATATTTTAAGTCTCCACATCTCAGTTAAAATGAAAATATCGCTTCACTTTGCGTAACCAGATTTTTTTTAAAGATCTATACTGCAAAACAGCATTCTGTTAAATACTGAACAGCATTCAGTATTTAGCTGCAAATCCTAAAATCTGTGCTGCAGATCTGTGATCATCTTGATCTGTTTTCATTTAAAGAAAACCATGAAAAAATGGAAACATCAATTTAAAAAAATGTGTTTTAACAATTAGGTTTCTGGAACTAATAAAGATTTTTGATAAGCATCAAAACAAAAAGAAGAAAAATAATAATAGTAATAAAACAATAATTAAAAAAAATCAATAAATTAAACACAGACACTGAAACTGAAATAAATGATCATTAAAATCATTATGCTTTTTGTGTCGTTGTAAGAATATGTTTAAAAAAGATTTGCTTTTATATAAAATTTCTGTTATAGGATAAATATAAAATGCTCCAACTGAATTTATATATTTATTTATCTATCTATTTATCGATGGTCGCTTGTTCTGGCCTGGTGCGTGGTCAGCCCAGTAGGACGTGAGAACGGAACCGGCTAATGGTTCTCCTCTCTTCAGTCTGTGGTTTATAATCTGGGCTCCTCACTGCCAGGCTCAGTTTTCCGTGTTAGCAGCCTGAGTCCAGTCCAAACCGGGATATTCCTGAAGCATCACAAATATCCTACCTCTCTCTCTTTTTCTTTATAAACCTTTCAGATCTGTCCAGTGGACTACTGCACCTTGTAGACATTTTTTTTTCTGGGACTATCAGGAGTTCCTACACTGTGAATCAGTTTAAGACCCAGAGCAGAGCGGAGGCATTAGCGTCCAGTGATTTTGTAAATCTGATTATCAGCTCAGGCCAGGCTCTCGGTGTGCAGAAGTTAAATTCCGTTTTGGAGGCTCCGGAGTTGATTCCTAAAGTGTGAACCTGTGAAGTCTGCAGCTGCAGCAGATGTTTTGGCTCGCAGAGTTTGATTGTCTGATATGATACAACAACAAAGACAGACTTTCAGCAGCAATTTGTTCGGTTCCTAGAAGAAGACTGCAAGCAGAACGAGTCCAACTGTAATGCAAGAAGCAGCCCAACAATGGAGCTGCCGTGCAACCCAATCTCTGTCAGCCTGATGCTATCTGCCCCATGTTAAATGGGGTGACCAGCAGTCAAAAGACAAAGGAGCAACAGAAGGACCACATGGGGGTGGGGTGGGGTGGAGGACTAACTTTACTCTCTCTCTCTCTCTCTCTCTCTCTCTCTCTCTCTCTCTCTCTCTCTCTCTCTCTCTGTGTGTGTGTGTGTTTCCATTACAAGTGTGCAAACTTTGTCTACGTTCCACTAATGTCAAAACAACACAATTGCACAATTGCAATTAAAATACCAACATGCAATTAATATCACTTGAATAAGTTTATTCACGCACAATCTCCGTCCAATTACTTCCTGTCTTCTTCTTCGAGCTTTCCGCCAGTAGCAACATCCGGTTGTTGATCAAGTGACTCGTGTGTATGCGGGAAAAAGTTTTACGAAATAAACTAATTTCAATACGGCAATAAATAAATAAATAAATAAATAAATAAATAAATAAATCCCAGGCCAAATCTTTTTTTAATCGAAAAACGAGAGTTGCGTGTTTCCATTAAGGAAATTTATTTTCGAAATGTCAAATTGCACAATTATACGGTCAATGGAAACGCAACCTCTCTCCTAGTTTTTTTCTTTCTCTCTCCTTTTTTTTCTTATCTTTTCCATTCCCTTTTATTTATCTCGTTTGTCTTAGAATTCAGTGAAAAACATTTTCCCCAGGTGAAATACTCTCGGACCCAGATAGTAGTCCTCTGAAAGCTTTTTTCCCCTTTTAGACAGTTTTCATCAACAACATTACGCTGAATCTAAAAATCTTCTGATTCAGCGTTTTTCTTCTCTAAAAAGGACATTACAATAAAAACAGTGGCAGTCCGCTCGCTGACCTGCACCTACAGGTTTATCAGGACATTTTTGACTGTTGTGTGAAAACACCTGGGAATAGAATATCAGTTTTCAGAGTTTTTGTTCTTATTGGCCCCAGCCTGATGTTTTTGGCTTTGCTTCATGTTTAAATTACAAGTCTGTGAAAATAGGAACCGATTCCTAACGTTTCAGAAGCAATGTGTGGTGTTCAGGGTTTCTGTTTTTACCTGTAGCATTCCAAGTCACTAATGACTGTAGACCATTTGTTGTAAATGTGAGTTTTATGACAATTTTAAGCTTAATTCAGTTGATTTTTATTTAAACTTTAACAAATTTGATTTCATTCTTTTCTCACTTGCAAATGAGAAAAGTGTTATTCTGGTATGAGACTTGTTGATGGAGTGGAGGGTTGAAGAGGTTGGTGGCCTGATGCTCTTCACATTTCGGCTACAGAAGCAACATGGCTACTTTCTGATGCAGCATCTGTTCTTATCATTAGCTTCTCAGGGCCAAACATTTTGAGTGAAACAGTTTTTAATGTGCAAAAATGATTTTGGTCCTTCCACCAATGGATGAAGACAGAGACTAGAGGAAAGTCAGTGGATCTGAAACAGGTTTTATTTTACAACTATATTTAATCCATGCAAGATTTGCATAATGTTGACTTTAATTGTTGTTAATGTCACATATTTATTTTTATAAAACTGATGAACACATGAAACAACCATGTGCAGTTCACCATGATCATTTTTTATTTAACACTTTTAAATCAAAGGTGTTAAAATATGTGTTAAATATTTAAAATATTCTTTTACCTGTTACCGTAACATTAAACATATATTGGATAAAAACAGTATAAGATGTTATTACATAATGGGTCTAACATGGAACACCACGTCATGCTGCACAATGCGTCTTTAAAAAGCTGAGGAAACTGATGGAGTGGAAAACAGAACAAGTGGTAAAACGATCTCAACTCGTTTTCAATCAGATTCAGTTCTATTTAGTTTGAGTCAAATCCACTGAGCTTATTGTCAAAGCAACAGTTCACATTAAAAGTCATTTTTATAACAAAACTGGAAACTGATTTTCTCCTGTTCACATCCACAAACATAGAAACGTACAGCCAAACCAGCTCAGCTCATTCCAGAACACTGCAGCCATATAGACTGATCCTCAGCAAATTATATTCAATTCCATTTGATCATAATTATAAAAACAGACATTTTATAGAATTGTTGATTACCCAGCAACAGCCCCTCCTGACAAAGCATGTGGTGACAGTGGAGAGAAAACCTTCCTTTTTAACATGAAGCAGTCTGCAGCAGAATGACTGGCAGGACAAAGTCTGCTCATTGGAGCAACTGCAACTAAAACTCAGTCTGAGAGTTTCTGATGAGAGCGCCATGTGAATCAGCCTGCTGATGTGTTAACAGTGTCATGTTAAATAGGAAACTTTTTTTTTTTTTTTTTTCCCTTAGATAGAACTAAGCAAATTGAAAGATGTAGTTTATTTTGCACAAAGACCCAAGGGTACTTTCTGGACATTAGAGGATGTTTAACTTCATTCTTAAAGTATTGAAACAATTATAGTTGGTTCCTTTAGTACTGCTGACTGTTTATTTTACACAGAGACAATGTACCATATTTTAACCTTTTAAAAGTAGATATGCCACCAGGTTACAGCTAAAAATGCTCATTTCTACCTGTTGTCTCTGAACAGATTGATGGTAGCTGAATATGATCTAACAGATTATCAATTGATGAAAAGCCAGCATATTACATATATGTCCAATAATTCATTATTCACATCTCACTAAAACCAAGGACAACAATCAGACTACAATGCTACAAACGGTTCATAAAACCATTTCTTAGTCTTTGTCGAGTGTGACTCTGCTTATTTAATAGCTTTTTTTTTTTTTTTTTTTCCAAATGTGCAAGTATTTCATAACTAGTACAAATTGATTTTTGTAATCAACCCAGTTGAGAAATGTAGCTTTTATGGGCACAAAGAAGCAGCTCCACAACCTCTGGACCTCTTCAGGCCTGAACAGCCTCTCCTCTGGTAGCGGCCATGTTTGCTCCCTGAGCAGCATGCTGTACTCAGAGATGGGTGGTAACTCGTTACATTTAAACAGATGCCTTTACTTGCAACTTGTGTAGCTTTAAAAACAAACAAACAAACAAACAAACAAACAAACAAACAAACAAACAAACAAACAAACAAACAAACAAACAAACAAACAAACAAACAAACCAAAAACACTTTTAGAAGTAGGTTTACTTCACCATACTTTTTATTTTTATTTGAGTAATATTATTATAAAGTTTCCTACACACTACTTGAGCAAAATGTTTGGATTCTCTACAGTGAGATCACTGTATGAAGAACAAACATTTTGACCAAAAATACACCAGACACTGACACACACACACACACACACACACACACACACACACACACACACACACACACACACACACACACACACACACACGT